CAGTCCCGGGCGGCTCCTGGGTGGCCAGCAAACAGCAGCAGGTGGCTCGCCCTCCAGGGGCGCCCGGTACCACCTCCATTGTTCCCTGATGGAGTCCTCCAGGGACGAGCCGTGGGGTGGCAGCCCAGCAGCAGGAGGTTGAGCCTGGCCTGGGCCGCCATCATGGCTGTGCCCCCCCCCTCCAGGCACTGGAAGGAGAGGCTCCTCCTGCATGGGGCACTCCAGCCACTCGACCTGGCCTTGCCGCCATGGCTGGCCCTGCCACTGCCTCGACTGCCGTACTCCGTCGGCCGGGGCACGTCGCCAGCCGCCATTTGCCATGACTTGGTTGCAGCCGGAGAAGGGGGTGGAAAGGGGGTGATCGGGCAGCCGGGGACCCCCCTCCAGGCAGAGGAGGAGGAGGAGTAGAGAAGGGATTTAGGGTTGCATCCTCATTTCCCCCAGGATTATCATTTTTACCCCATTTGGGGTAATTTACCCGTTCCCTGACCACTGCTCTATTCCCTTCACTCCCTCTTCACTCTTACTGACTCTGTTACTCTTACTGACTGACCCTTACTCTCTGACTTGCCTCTTATAGTATCTCTCTTGGCTCTGCCTCTCAACAACATGAATATGCATGAACCATTACATAACAAAACATGAACCATTGACCTAATAAATGGGGAATGCTACGAGATCATATTCAAACAACTCATGCCATAACCTCATGTCTGAGGCAGCCAGCAACAGCTCCAAACTGTTGTTCCATATTTTGTAAACAATTGTGTAAGATTTTTTTTATTATTTATACTTTAAAACCTTCAGATTTATAAATGGAATAAATGTATATCACAATGTAGCAAGCAGTATACAGGGAAATCAAAGAAGGTAAGGTGTGGCAAGCAAACAGAACACCTTAAAGTAGCAATTCTCAACCAGTGGCCTACATCTTTCCCTGAAGGGGCTAATTAAGATTTCAGAGGAGTCATGTATGCAACTTAAAAAAAAATACAGTATTATCGCTATCTCAAAAAAAAAATCAAAAGAATTGAAAATGCCACTAAAAGTTATTGCTTTGTTGCTAGGGGTTACTGCCTCTATTAATTTCCTGTATCTTTACCTATGTGTTACACTGGACTGTAGACGTCACTGTATATGGACTGCTGTTGTCTAGTCTCCTTAACACCACCAGTTCTGCCACTTCCTTTGTATTCTAAAAACATTTCTGTCTCCTTAAACGAATGTTTTTACTTTTACTTACAAAGAGATGAAATGTTGGAGATAATTATTGTAAGAAGCAAATCAGAAGAGGAGCATGAAAAGTTAATGTTTACAAAAAGAGGGCAAAAAGAAGCTGCTTTATATTGTATAGAGCAGACCTGGGCAAAGTGCAGCCCGAGGGCCACATACAGCCCGCGAGCCGCTCCTGTCCAGCCCACCGGTCGTCGCTCCAGTCTGGTGTTCAAGCACTTGTTCAAACCCAAGACTGACCGGATTTCTCTCACTGAACAAGTTGAACATCAAAACCATTTATAGCTTTTTGTCTAAAGTTGATCAGTTGCTTATCTTTAACATACCGCAAAAAAAAAACTCTTTGGTATTTGTGAAGATTAACAAAATAAAATCAACCATAACATCACTGTTTCATTTTATTTTTAAGTAAAATTGGTTTGGCCCCCCAAACACAGTTCAGATTTTTCATGCGCCCCCCCCCACAGAAATTAATTGCTCACCCCTGATATAGAGCAATAGCAACCAGAAATTTACAACAGGGCCTTCGCCTTATAGAGGAAGAGCACTGAAATTATGGGATTCGGTACGAGGGAAGAGGAAAGGAAGGCAATAAACACGTGTCAGATTATTTAACGGGCTTATTTGTCATTAGTTCAAAAGTGAATAGATTAAGAAGGAAGGGGGAAATGGGTGGTGGCGGTGGCTGGGAGTGGCTGCCCTCCCCTCGATCCCCCAGAACCTCCACTCAACTCAATCCCGACCCCAAATCCTTCCCTTTAGGTGAATTCTCCCCCACACCTAAAATTGCCTCTCACCTTATCAAGGACCGACGGTAAGACTCGAGTCGCCCCCCCACACCTCAAAAAGACCAGACCGCTCTAGGAACCCCACCCCGACCCCGCTTACCAAGCCTCCAATCTCCCTTAAGCTGCTTGTTGTTTCCTCCACGCTCTGCTTCCGCCCTTGGCCCAGTGACGTCACAGACGTGCCACTGAGCGTCAGGGTCACGCAGGCGGAGGGAGACCTCAAAGACAAGAGCCCGCCTTGTTATGCTGTTGAAAGAAAAAAAAGGACCGGATGTCGGGAGGGGCGGGGTCAATAGAGTCGCGTGGGACGGAAGGCTAAAGACCCGGCCCGGGGACTGTTTGGGGAGCGGTCTCCTCCGGTTTCCAGGGGAGACGGGTGTCGCACAAGAGTTAGGAAAAGTGTAGACAGGACCATCATAAGCATACTTCCAGGTTTCGACAGAATATCCTCATAGCGCGGAAATTGGTTTTTTTTTTTTTTGCCAATGGAAAAACTCCCTGTTTTAACGTATTTTTGCTTAACGTGCATAACCTCTCGATAAAATAAAATAAAATAGTGATGTTTCTAATTTGGGTTTCCTTTCGATGTTTCAGAGATGTTTCCTCATTCATTATCAATAGATACTTTCCAGTGGAAATTTTAAAATGCTATCTTCATCTGAAGCCCTGCATAGAAAGTCCCCGTGTGGGTAATGAGATGAAATGTTTTTTTAAAAAAGAAAATATATATAATTGTCCCCATTAAAGCCGCTAATACCCCACACGTGAGCTATTAAAGGAAAGCCATAGTTAACCACACAACCCAGGGCTTGGAAGGGTTAGAGTCGTCTCTGATGGAAACGACCCCTTATTAAAGTACGTACTGTACGTGTTTACATTTACTGTTAACAACCAAAATTTGTCAACCTGCTGAAATGATCACTGTGTGGGTTGACAAGCTGATTGAAGATCAACCTGTATACTATCGACTCAATAATAATATACGTAATGACTTTATTGGGACCAACTTTAAAAAGTCGCAAAGAACTTTGAATCCCACGGAACTCATTAATTAGCAGGCTGATGGTTGAGCCTTAAAAAATAAAACAGCTTTGTACTGTCACTATGGATTTTCTTCATTCAGTTTGCCAACATGGTAGCAGAATGCAATTTTTTTGGATGTGTATAAAATCTATAAATAGAAAACTTACATTTCAAAAGGTAGAATTGTGTCTACACACATACACTCAACTTGCTAAAGACTGGGTTTTTAAGACGCCATGGCTCCAGTTGCTGAGAACTGGCAGAATACAGTTTACAGATGGGCAGCTGTATTAACCTACTGCAGCTAAAGCAATCTTGCAACACCTCATAGACAAATTTCATTTCAGCATATATTTTAAGAGTGGTTTAATTTCCACTTATACATGCAGCTTGACTGGCTATGAAGCAGCAGAGTAAAGGTATTTCAACATCAGCTTCTGTGAACCTAGGGATGCTCCTGGTAAAGCAGACCAAGTCGACAAAATTGCATGTAATTAAAAATGTGTCGGACTGCATTGTGTCACAAGACTCTGCTGGTCTCGAAAGCACAAATAGCAAATCATTTAGATATTCTAATAAAAAGTGTTTGTGAAATCTGGGACATCTTCAAATTCAGCAAATAATATACAGTAGAAATAATGATACCTAGGGGGAAAACCCAGTTAATGTGGATTTTCAAAGTACAAAATTGTGATCTTATTCTAACGGGGGAAAGTGGAGGAGACACAAATCTCATCATTTTGGAGAGGCTAATGTGTTCTGTGAGTAGAGCCAGCCTGTGTGGTCTTTGGTAAGCTGCAGTCCCCGGATGCCCCTAGGAGGGAATGGTAAACCACTTCTGAGTACTCTGTATCTGGAAAACCCTGAATTGACTTGATGGGACATCATCATCATCGTTATGTTATGGACACTATGTTTATTCTGTCCCTTTCAATTTTTTATCAAATTTATTATAGGCTGTAACTTGTTTTATTTTACAGGAAGAGTTATTATCCCACCTCCATGTCTGCCAATTAAATATAACACTCGACATATTCTGTGACACAGGCACTGATGTACAAACACTTCTGCCACGATTAATCTTGCAAACTCCAATGCATCACAATATTTATTGTTAGTTCAGATTAACACTAAATTCATCTGTGCTGTAAAGTACTGTAGTAGGGAGAGTACAGCTCCTCACCCCTCTCTCTTCCTCTTCCTTGGAACAGAGATTCTGGTGGAGGGGCTGACAAACCATGTGTGCTACATCTTGTTTTATGGCCAGTAATACAGTCCTACAAGGCAAGCACACAAGCAGGATAGCTGACCATCTCCAGACATTAACAATATCCTATCCATTTCTCAGCATAATGCTGTTTTTATATTACACATCTTCGGTGGTACTGCAATACAGGGAAGAGCTGCAACTGAGTGATGGACTACACCCAGAACCCTATACAGATGTTGCCTATCCCAGTAAATACCAGTGGGCAAATGGACAAAAGAATCTATAGTTTCCTATACACACCAGTACTTACAGATGTATAGTATCTTAAGTGTGTTACTGGGTCAAGACCAGAAATTCACAGTGCCTAGCCACAGTGATTGCAACAGATGAACAAGTACAATTAATTTTTTAACCTCTGCATAGTTAACATACTGTATACTAAGGAGGAGTGATTCAAGATCCCTGCCAAATCCATCCAAAGGTTCCCTGTAGCATCCTGCTTCCAAGAGTGGCCAACCAGAAAGGCTGATGACTTTTCTTTAATTTAACATATACACAGTACATCTTGTCATAAACATGCCTTCCACTCACCCAGTGGCAAGAAGGATGTAGGGATAATGATACGGGGAAGATGGCAGCAAGAGAGGGAGGGGGTGGGCAGGCCCCCTATGGGGATGCAGCTGCAAAGAACAAAGAACCCTGTAAAATTATGGAGTATTCTTGGTTTAACTATACAGTACTAATTTTTTCTCTCTCTTGTCACCTTGCTTTCAAGCTGTGGGTGACTAGGGACACATTGGTAACCAAGATCTGTTCTATTACCAGCCTTGCTAATAGCTGCTGAAAAAGGCAGTTTCGGTACCAGATGTCACATGTTGAAATCTTAAAAGCAATGCTTTCTTAAGGTTATAACCTAAGGAAGGCAGTTTTCATATGCTTTCTGCCTCTCCCTATTCTCTCAGCTCTTTCGAATTCTTAAATTATTACCAGCAATGTGCACTCTCCAATTTCAAGCTGTTGTGAGGTTTCTGTATTCAAATAAATCCTCCCTTTCTACAATATGAAACCTTTTCTAGAGCTGAACCTTTGGCACAAGAGCAAAGGATGCCCTACAATGTACTTATTTTGGATGGAGAAGACAGGTGGTTTGAGAGAGGGATCAAGGAGGCCACATATGTGCATACAGAAAATCCCTCACTCGTGTGTGTGTGCGTGCGTGCGTGCGTGCGCGCGCCTTAGATAGAATCTGTCTCCTATTTATCATGCTGCCCTTTCATTGTCCCCACAAAGACACCCACCAGAAAGAGAGACTGTTAGACAGTTAATGACCCATTACAATGGGTGAAGGAGGACTGCAGAAGGGAGATTTTCACTTACCCCCAGTCCTTTGTCCTTCTAAGGAGCCTGTTCAGACAAAGGGGAAGTGAAATCAATGTGGAGGGTATATCAGGGATTTCCTACCAACTCTCATCTGACTGAAGAAGCTACTTGGATGAGTAGCAAAATGTTTCAACCTAACAAGAAGTCCAGACGCCATGACTCAACCTCCAGATAACCTCACCCCCAGATGCCATGACTCAACCTCCAGATAACCTCACCTGGATGACTGACAATCTTCACAGATATTATGCCCTACAATGCTCCAGTCCAGAGGCTCATAGTCTCTCAGGTGATTACCCTCTCCCCCCTCACCCCACAAAGAAACCCTCTAGTATCATCCTGACTAGTTCCAAATATAAGAACATTACATGTATTAAATCAATTTTTCAATTTCAAACTGAAGCCATTAAGCAATTCAAAGGAGCCTCCATAACCACACTTATTACTTCTAATCAAACTGAAATCTTGTGACAGATAAATTATGCACAGAGGCAATGTCATATACAAGACAGCACTGCAAAGAACTGCTTTTGCTAAAGGGAATTAGTTATATATCCATGGCACAATACTATGCTAGACATCATGCACTGGTATCATCAGAGGGCTGAAGTTTGTGTCCCATAAATTACATACAAGCTTATGGATTGCTCTCCTTTTTGTTTCTTTTAAGAACAGTTTTAGAAGTGCAAAAAGCCGGTCTGTGGGATGCTCACCCACATGACTTTAAGGTGGTCCCTCCCTTTTATCCTTCTGTCCGACAATCAAAGACACACCTCTTCAGGCAGGTTCTTAACAGTCAAAGCTAAGTCCCTGAATGCTGTTTTTCAGTTTTATTTTTAAATGATTCAATATATTTTAATACCAGTTATACTTTACTTTTGTAATGTATAATTTACTGTGTTTTAATTCTACTTTTTTAACATTGAGAGCTGCCTTGAATCCCTTTATCAAGAGAAAGGTGGCCTATAAATAAGAAATAAATACATGAATGAATGAATGAAATCAAATGAAACTAAATGAGATAAAGATTAGAAGATCAAAGGGAGGTAAGATCTTATGAATTTTACTGAATGGGGTTCCTATTAGGAAGTGACTTTCTGTACCCTTAGCTCTCTTACACAAACTAGCTAGCTCACAACATACAGACTTAACACATGAGCTATGAACTGAAAACATTACTTCAGCATGTTCTATGGCAGAAAACGAGCACCATCTTCTCTAATTATTTTGTAACAAAGTAGAACTGAACATTACAGTGGTCAGACCATCAAGGGTCAACAGGAGGACAGCATCTTTACCATGGAGTAAATGCAATTTCCAAAAAAGGAAAGCTCAGGGTGGGCAGAAAAGAAATCTAGTCAATTAAAAAATATATCAGGAAAGTGAAAGATTAGCTGCTTGTCAGGTTTTAAAACAAAGAACGGATATTTCAGGACTGAGCATCAGCAGGATGCCACAGGACAGGTCCAAACATTCACATGCAGAAATGTTTGTATCAACAGCCACAGCTGCAAATGTATTGGGGGGGGTGAGGAAGAGCAATGCCAGCCAGAACCATCTCCGACCATTTTGTCAACACGTTGTAGCAAGATCATATGCATCTCAGGTCAAACAAGGCAAAAGGGCAGAATGTAAGAGGCAGCCACACTGCAGAGCTATTTTTTTCCTCCTCTGTCCAAGCCAAGAAGGATCATGGATATACAAAGACAAGACAAGACTTGAATTCCAAATACCTTTGACTCAGCAATTAGATCAAGGGATGGGGGTTAAATCCATCTACATCTCAGAAGCAAATGCAGCCTTTTCCAGTCTAGTGTCCTCCCATATATATTGGCTCACAACTCATCCATCCATCATCTTCAGCACTCAGCATCACTGGCAGCCTTTCCCAGTCTAGTATCCTCCCATATATATTGTCTCACAACTCATCCATCATCTTCAGCACTCAGCATCACTGGCTGTGCTGGCTGGGAATGATGGTAACTGCTCTAGTTTGGGAGGACACCAGGTTGAAAAGACAGTGGGCTACAATTTTGGTCTATCGCCTAATGATGCCACATCTGATTCTATCATGCTATCATGCTTTTGAGAAACAGATACAAACTTTTGGCCCTCCCAAATGCTTGGGGCTGCATTTCCCACTATCACATCACCAGCCAATCTTGCTGGGGTTTGCAGGAAAAGTCCAACATAGCTGGAGGGCTAAGTTCCCCACTTCTATAGCAGCATTTGGTAAAAGAACGGCATAGATCCCAGCTGCCTTTTGAGAACTCATTTTTATTCCTTCAGTGGAGGTGGGGTAGGGTTATGGGGCCAAGGCTGCCAGTTACCAAGCTGTTCAAGAAAAGTACTAAGCTGAGACCATTCTTAGTTTCATCACAGGCTGGAGGTACTTCAAAAGTTCCCTTTTAGATGGTTAACTGACAGGGATGTACAGGGTGTACTATGAACATGACACTCCATTCAATTCATTCATTCCCTCTTGAGTGCATTAACTCTGTTCATACAGTGAAGGAGGTGCTAACTTCTGAATGACCCAGTAGAATTGCTGAAATTTTGCTATCTTGATGACATTCCACGGAAGCTCTTTCCAATTATTGTTTTTCTAAAACTCTCACACAACCATATCAACTACATCTGAACAACAGTAATTAAGTAGCTCAGAGTCACTACTTCAGATATCCCTAGTAAAAGCTGTTCTGCAAATGAGTAGCTCTAGTGCAACTTGAACCTCAGGAAATGAGCAGAAATGGAAACTTTTATACCAGCAGAATCTACCCAGAATGCAGGACTGCTTTGCCATAAAATATACTTTACTTGCATTGGGAAAGTCAGTCTGTTCCCTTAAGAATGGGAAGCAGGTGAAAACTAGGATTGCTGAAGAGGGAAACGCCAAATGTTTTTTCGGCATTCAAACTGGAGAAGTGTATACTTACCTGGAAGTAAACTACACTCAACACAGCAGAACATACTTCTCAGTAAATAGGTATAGGGTTATGATGGTAATATGCTGTTTACATACAACAAAATAAGCAACTTCTGCTTAGTGATAAGAACCAAGCACCTTACTTTTGATGAGAAAAACCCAAATTTTCATTTTTAAAAATTGTTTGGAGCTGTTCCAAAACTACATCTTCTAAATACAGGTCTGGGGGCAGGGGGCGTTTTTCTCAAAGGTCTTGTTTCTAAAGCCTCTTCAACACACACCTTCAACTCTTCCCTTCTTTCGTGGATTGTTTTCAGTCTTCAGCAACAAACAGGCATCATCTTTGATGATCAGACCCCAGGTCCATAGAAGACTGCACCAGAGACGACGTCCTTCTTGTTGTCAAATGTCTATGTTCCATGTGCCCATCCCCACCCCCAAACACCACTGCCAGGGGAAAGGAAGTGGAAAGCAAGAGAGGCAAGGGGCAAATTGAGTGCGCTAACATTCCCCTTTAATAACCCAACACACTAGAAGTACAGTGGCTTGATTTTGACCAAGGGCTTGCAGGAGTCACTGGAGAGACAGAGAGAGTTCACTGCCAGGTAGGCCCTGATGGACACAGTGGGAACAGCACGGCCCTGGTTACATTTTTATTACTACTTATTATTAGCATTGGTTGATTTGGTTGCCATTGTTGTCATTTTTTATTTTTCCTTAAAAACCAGACACACAAGTGAGTCGATTCTAAAAGGAATATTCCAGGCCTGACCCAGCTTCCCCAGCGCCACAGTGCCCAGGGCAGGGTGAAGGTGGCACAGAATCCCCCCTCAGCCTTCCAGACTCACCCAGCCCCGCCCAGAACCTCCCCTGTATAATAAATAGTTATGATCAAAGCCTTGTTGCCCAGGAGGGGAGGATTTTAGGAGGGGCAAGTGGCCTGCAGATCACACAGCGGAATGACACTGCGCTATGGGCAAGGACTGCCAGAGCGCAGAGGGAGCCTTCTGTTCTTAGCAGCAAAACCACAGCCCCACATAAAGGCAGATGGGCCACCAGCAAGGGGTCTCCCACACCCAGGGGGCAGGTGGTGACCCCAATGCAGTGGGTGGGGTAAAGCAGCAGCAACCTCACCCCTCACTCCACAGCAGCACACAGGGAGAGTGGTGAGAGAGGTACGAGGGATTTGGTGAGGCAGTGGCTGCCAAGGCCCCAGGCTGGCAGAGGGAAGGTCTGAAGGCGAGCAGGTGGGGTGAGGAGGGGGGAAGAGGATGGAAGGGGGTCCCTGCCAATTCCTGACTCCTGTGCCCCCTTGATGGCTGAAGGCAGCGGTGTTGGCAGAGTCCCTTAGGAGAGCTGGAAGGGAGATGAAGAAGGGGCAAGGGGAGGGCAGGCTTGTGCCCGGAGCTGGTCAGTTCTATTTGAGGCAGCGCTCAAAGTAGGTGGAGCCAATGTAGCCGCCCCTCATTGACCGCTGGACGTTCTGCTCAAACAAGCGTCTGTTGTTCTGGAGAACTTCGGCAGCCTCTTTATTCAAGGGGTCTTCAGGGTTTGGCTCCTAGGGAGGGAAAAGAACAAAACGGAATATCAAAGAGGATTTTAGCAGTTTGTTGTGCATGTTTAGGTCAGCCTGTGTTGTCATCATCACTACATGATTTGCCAGCAAATACACAAATACAAACAGCTGCATCCTCCCCTCAAGGTGTCCTCTAGTTCTGAAGACCTACAGCTTATTTGGGAAGCACAGCTTGCCACTGCCGAGTAACCCATGCCCAGCAGGATCTTGTACCCTTTGTCTCTCTCAGGCCTTGAGTCAGGAAAGTTTAGCAGTTAGCACATGCATCTAGACTAGTTGTTCCCAACCTTGGGTCCCCACTTGTTATCAGACTGCAATTCTCAGAAATCCTGGCCAGCACAGCTAGTGGTAAAGGCTTCTGGGAGTTTTAGTCCTTCTGGGGACTCAAGGCTGGGAACCACTGGACTAGACCCAACAACAGGTTCACGTTTACCGGAAAATGATGCCGATGTTATAGCAGGGGTAAACAACTCACTCCATACCAAACCAAAATTTAACTGGCTAGATTTGGTGTTTCTCCCATTGACACAGCTTTTTTTCTCCATTTGGCCAATGCTCATTTCAGCTATCCATGTCCAAAAGCAAATCTCTTCCAAAAAAAGGAATAAAAATACAAGGCAGTCCTTAAAACAAGGACGGGCAAAATGTAGCCTTTGTTACTCCAAGCAGCCCTAGCAAGCCTACATGGTGAGGGATGATGGGAATAGAAATCCAGCGTCTGAGCAACTACACTTTGCCTGCTTTACCTTTACAAACGTATTTTCAGTCAACTGGAAAAAGCAAAGCAACAGCAAAAGCATCGCATATAAAAGCAGAATCAAATGGTAAAGCTCTTCCCAGGCCACTGATCTCATACCTTCATCTCACTTGCCAAGAATATAAACTAGCCCCCATATTATTGTCTGAACAGATCACATGCAATGGCCCTTAGCCTACGTGAGCCAAAGGCTTCCAACACTTGAGTCTGCACTGGTCCAGGGTACAAGCTCTCAAGATACCATTCCTAAGACAGAACATTCGAAACTTCCGTAGCATGATCAAAGTGAAATACACCAGGGTTTTTGCTGGATAACATCAATCCATGTCTGCAGAAAGGAAGTGAGAATGCAAGAAAATAGGGATACAGGGGAAAAGAAGTCCACAGAATCCTCTTAAAGATTTATAGGAAAAGAATTATTATAATAGTCTGCAGAAGTGTGATTACGGCCTCATCAGTAATTATCAATGCAGGAGTTAATGTGTGTCGCCAGACATTTCTTCCATTATTCTGGAATCCTGCTTCCTTACCTAATGAAGATACTTATTTGCAATGGTTCAAAAGAAGACTGAGGCTTGTCTAGTGACTTCATATGCTAACTGAGGGAGACCTGCCTCCTGCCAAAGACTTGACTCCCAAGAGAGAGATAGTACACGGTGCTCTCCTCCTTGGTCATAGAGCAGGCAGAAGTGCTTCAAATCGTCAGTGCCCATGACCTCAAATGCTCTCTTGCCTTTCACTTTAGCCACCCAGAGCTGCAACCCAATAACCAGATCAACTTCAACTTCTCCATCTTTAGAGTTAAACATATCCAGCAGATTTATCTTATTCAAGAAGGGGGAAAAAAGGAATGTGAACGCCTGGCACATGATTGCAAATAAATGTGTAATAAACTAAGATGTTTAACAATTTAAATCTTTCTTTCATTTAATATATACACACACAGTTTAGATTTAATTTTAAAAGTTATACTGAGTTCCACTTTTTAAAAATCTGGTTTTAAATAATGGGTAAATGTCATATGCAAGTATTTAATACAAAACACAGGCCAAAATATGTGTATTTTAATGGCAAGTATTACTTGCACAACAGGTTGGATTATTTACATATTGTACAATGTGTGAATATTTATACCAGTTCAGTTGCCAAGCAACAGAGAGTTCATAATCCTTGAAACCACTTTTGCACCACCATTACTAACACAAATACCCTTCCAAACTACATTGGTTTTGCTGACATTTGTTGTATCTTTTGGAAAGGGACTGACAATACAATTTTATCTGTGGTTTCATAAAACTGTGGCACAGGAGGACGCTCTAGAACCCAAATACAATATAGAGCCACTGAACATTCCCCTGAAAATGTGTGGGTGCAGAGAGCAATCTAGGTCTCCAATGCCATAAAGATACCTTCCCCTGCTTTAGATCTGTTTGCCAAGGATTACGGACATTGACTTTCCATATCATATTCTGTTCAGCAATGATCAGCTTCAAATTTACAACATCTTCAGCACTTGCTTAGTCAAGTAATCTTGCTTAGTATAGATAATTCCAAACAAAAATGCTTAGCATCACAAGTTGCTGTTGAAAATAGATAAAAATTGCAATTCAAGGAATACTTTCCTGGGAGTAAATCCCATTGAACACAATACAACTTACTTAAGAGTGCTGTCAATTTCTGGCAAAGTGTCTGTAAGTAGAGTGCATACATACAGAACTGCACTAAGAGTCCAAGGTGTAAAAGACATAAGTATTACACAACCAGATGTTTCAAGATTATGTTCCAAGGTGTAAAAGACATATTACACAACCAGATGTTTCAAGATTATGCTCCTGGGTACTATCACTGTGGCTCCAGTTTGTTGCAAACAGATGTTCCAATTGCTATAGCACCAAATTATAGTGTATACGGCCAATCAGGAAAAAAATGTACAGTATTTGAAAGTTAGAGCTAGATTTAGATCAGTTCCCACGGATGCAGAGACAGTCATTTCAATTACACTCTTCAATGCCCCCACAATAGTGACATTACCAATAGTGTTAGATGCATGGCTATGCAAAGGCAACCCCCATCTCAAGTTATTCTTGCAGGCTGGCAGACATAAAAGCATCCAACATCTTACCCAAACACAGCTATATAAAGCTGCCTTTGCTTCACACTCACTCCGTCTCACACTCAACACCCACATAATCTTCAGGAGCATACTGCGTTCTACCTTCTCCCTATTTTACACCCACACTTTCCACACAGGCTGAGTGCAGACGGGTGGGAAGTCAGAATTCTGGAAGTCACAGCTGTCCCACACTCCCCTCCCTTATGCTTTTTTATTTCCAAATATACTCACCAAGAAAAGATACTGCAGGCCATAAATTATAGAGTTTATTGTTAGTACAGGCTTCCAATCCTCTCTGTGGGATACAAAACAAAGAATGTAGCAACAGAAGAGCAACTCCAAGTGACAAACAATAAGAGAGCAGATCTAGGTTGATTGCAAGGTTACAGCTTACTCCACCAGACAAAGGTGATGTCATTTTGCAAAGAGCAATGACAGTATGTTTAAAATGTCACCTACTCAAAAAGAAGAACATCATTGTGAAGCAGCACACAATGGAACTTTAAACACACTTGTTATCTCCCCCACCACCCACTCACTCAAATTTATGGGGAATAATATTGATAATATGCCTACTTATATTCTTATCACATCTCAAACTTTGTGTTACCACTTAAACAACATCAAACAGCACAGATCCACATGGCTGCTTAAAATGAAAGCAGTCTTTGTTTATTTATGCAAAATAAAAATGGTAAACGTTTAAGCTGCCACAAGCCTCTGTCATTTTTCCCAAACTGAAACCCTATTCAGATGCTACTAGCCCAGTTCTGTCCAATACATGAGCAGGACAGTGCGCAGCATGTTCCTCTATACCAGTGGTTCTTAACCTTTGTCCATATTCCTCTATACCAGTGGTTCTTACCCTTTGTTACGCAGATGTTTTTGAACTGCAACTCCCAGAAACCGCAGTCAGCACAGTTGGTGGTGAAGGCTTCTGGGAGTTGCAGTCCAAAACTCCTGAGTAACCTAAGGTTAAGAACCAGTGCTCTATACCATCACATGCCTCACATGGAGAAAAAAAAAAGATATCCAGAGGTGAGGTTCATCATCATATGTAGGCTCTTCACAGATGAGGATCCCCAATTTTCTGGGATTCTTCCCTGCATGGAAAGACTTCATATGAGTAGGAACCTCCCTTCTGCAAAGACAGCTTACCCTGTGGAGAACGTGATAACACAGAGAGGCAGAGATATACACTGCCCTGCTTGCACACTGGGCAGAACTGAATATATGTAATACCTGAATATGGTTACCCTCTTGGAAAGCACACAGAAATTTGTTACATATAACTTGGGGTGTAAAATTGAACTATATGCACATTTATGATGTTTACACAGCAATCTTACATGTAAAACATGGAGACCAGGTTCACGTGTTATGTAAGTCTCTGGAACTGTGACTTACTATTTACAACCATAGACCTTTGTGATATCTGAACCTGGAATTTTGGGTTCTCTGTCCCAAAGAAGCCCAAGTCATAGGATAAGAACATGCCATGGCTTAGGAATCTAGATCCCAGTCAGAGTCTCTGGTTAAGATAGCATAGGAATGCTGTGCTTTTTTGGTGCTTCTGATTACTTACTGAGACATCCAAACAGTCACCCACCAATTTAATTATTACTTCCAGATAACCACATGTAAATTCAACATTTTAAATTAAAATATTCAAACACTTAGCACTACAGACAGAATGGCACATTTCTGCCTTGTACATTAGCCAGTGTGTTCATGTCATAGTAGGCTGGTGAAGACAATTAGGTACCAGTAACTCTTATTATCTCTAAACTAGACCCGAAGGCTTTTACATATCTTCTCCAATCTAGTGAAAAATAAGTTTGCAATACACAGCAATACCAAGCTGCAAAAATGGGATGGAAAACTGTACAAATGAGAAATAGTAGATGTAATCACGATGCATATCTAAAAATTTCACCAAAATCTGTAGGAAGAAAATATCTAGAAGTTAAGACAGATTGTCAATGAGCAATTTAACACAACAAAGCATGCTTTGTACATACCTGAGGATATTTAGGCACACATTGCCTTCTAGGTCTATGTTTGGATGATACACCATGGTCTCACACTTGACCTTGGGCGGGTCATGTGGGTACCCTTGTCCCACCTGAAATTGAAAGACAAGAAAGAAAAACAGTTGTCAGTTAAATCAGTACTTGCAAAACTTTGCTCACCATGCTAGGGAGAACAACCAAAAGTCTCATGGGGCCAGAAAAACCTGCAAGTTCTATTAGTCATAAGCTTTCCTGAACTGCAGGCTACTTCATCAAATGTTAAATTACACCAGTTAGTCTTTGAGATGCCACAAGACTCTGTTGCTTTTGCTGCAACAGACTAATACCAGTGGGAAGCCCCTAACATCTCTATTCATACAGCTGACACAATGTATGCTTTGGACCACTGGTTCTTAACCTTGGGTTACTCAGGAGTTTTGGACTGCAACTCCCAGAAGCCTTCACCACCAACTGTGCTGGCTGGGGTTTCTGGGAGTTGCTGTTCAAAAACATCCGAGTAACAAACTGACACAATGTATGCCTTGGACCAACTACATCATAATCATTACAACTTCAACAAACTTCAAAATAACATTCAGATTTAGAATGTACATTTTAATGGGTTTATGCTCTTCACAAATTACCTAGAAAATATGATAAAACTATATGAAAATAGTTCTAAGTAAGCTACTGAGACTAAGGTGCTTAAGTGAGTCCTTGTGAGTAAAGACACAGGGAGGATTAAAATTGAAAGGAAGAGAGAAGTCAAACATGCCCTCTGGAGACAGAGATCCATCCTTTCTACAGAGGCATAATAAACTGTCCCAAGTCATCAGGAAATGATATGTTAGCAAGAACAACTTTGGGCATCCTCTTGACAGATCTGTTGTGGCACCACCCTTGAGAATAAATGAGATATAGCAGAAAGACTGGAGAAAACCAGGTTCAAATCCCTACTTAGTCAAGAAGGTAACTTCTCAGTCTAAACCTACTTCACAGGTTTATTATGACAAAAAACACCAAGTGGGAAGGACTACATATTACATCTTGGGAACCTTCAAGAATGGGATAAAATTATAACGGATATCTCCATGTAGGTATCAAGCCCAGTGGACAAAGAGAAGGGAAGCTGAACATCCTTATCAGACAGGCACATTTCTATAACCAAAGCAAGGTTTGTCCCATTAGTATTGGTTCTAAACATCTAGTTCTAAATGATTTATCACTGAAAGTAAATTCCTTCATCTTGTCTGGAAGCAAAACTTGGCTCAAATGTTGTCGTCTTTCTTTACTTCTCTCCTTCTACCAAAGTTCTGGCAAAATTCCTTATTTCTACTAAAGGTTCTAACTCACTTGGCAAATTTTCATCAACTTTAAGAATGGTGAAGCAAAACTCTAAATAATAGTTTCTTTTACTCTGAATTTCAAAGTAAAAGCAATCCAGGATCTTGAATAGTTACAACCTGACATTTTCCCTAGATGCTGCTTGGCTTTAATATAAATGGCTTTTGGAACAAGAAAAGTAAGTCTACCTTGGTTTTTTTTATCAGAAAGTCTGGGCAAGAACGTTTTAATAAATAACAAAGGCCAGCAAATATATAGAAAGTTTTAGTTTCTCCCACTGTGATTCTTCAGCATATTTTTACCTCATAATTTTCTTGTTCATAAATCATTCTTCTTGAAACTAAGGTGAAAATTGTTGGGATACCAATTCCAAACCATGAAGTGATCACAGGCATAGAAACATTTAACCTTCAGGCAGTTCAAATTTACAGACTCCACTGGTCACACTGGGCAAGGTATATGAGAAATGCAGTCCAAAACATTTGGTGGGCGAAACGTTCTGTAACCAAACTACACAGCTAGCTCTTGATTCGTACAGAAGCTGTGTTATAACCATGCAGTGCATTAAAGAATCATATATCTGGCAATACTTAACATTAAACAATAAAATCTCTTTGCAAAGAAAGGCTTGAGAACACTGTCTACAAGCTGATAAGAAGAAGCTGCTGCTTTCTCAAGTGGAGCTGTCAAGCTTAGCATCCTTACCTCTTCTCTCCAGACCATGTCCTTGGGAAATATCAATTCAAGCACTGTAATAATATTTTTAAAGGTAACCCTCCCTCCAAAAACAAACAAACAAACCTACAGGCAAAATCAAATTGACCAAAGAAACCACAACCTTGCAGCTAAACTCCATAGTTTATTAAAAATTCAGAATTTGCATTTCCTTGGTTTAGAAGTCATTTGCACTTATTGTGCAAACACATATTGTTTCACATTTCTGAGACATTCTGAGCAGTACCCCTAACCCTGGTTACTGTCTAAGAGCTACATCCCATCCTTCCCACAAATCCCAAAATATTCTACTATTGTCTCCTTTGTTAAAAGGAAGAGGTGCCTCCCTTCCTATAAGTAGACAACCCAAACACCCTTGAGAAGAAACTAAGTTTTGTTTACTTAAGAGGCAATAATAACAAAGGCAAACTCTATCCCCTGTCCTGCTCCCTTCTCAGTCATAACTGAAACTTGCACAGTCATTCATAAAATTCATCCCATGCATTACTTCAATACCAAAAAGCAGAGAAACACTCAGCATTAAAAGCAAAACTCTAGGGAACCCAGGGATACATGAAATTCCATTTTACTTTTGGATTAACAATCATGACTGTTATCCACTCACTACCCCTCCTCCAAAATTCTCAATGCTTGTAGCTTAGGTATCAAAGCAATTTCATAATTTGCTCCTTAAAAGCATGGAAAGGCAGTTATCAGTATTAAGTTATCTTGATTCTCTGCCAGGACAAGTCCTTGCAGCTGAATGTGTACCACCGCTTGCTTCCCCCATTAAAGGCCTGGGGCTGAGATAGAGAAAAAAGGGGGAGTTACTTACCTTAAAACTGAAAACAAATTTACCACCTTTATAGAAACCCTGTAAGGCAAGAAGTAGAAATTCTAAGCAAGTTTTTTTCACATGGAACAAGCTTCAAAAAAAGATCAGCCAGGAGGAGGTGGGGATGCATAAAATACAGCAAGATAATCAACACCCTAATCCCTAAAGCAGAACAGTCAAATTTGAGTGTATACAGTAGCTTTTGCAAGGTGATGAACACTGTCTAAATCTCCTGCTTTGCTTCCTGTATACTGGATGCTCAATCAGTTCACTTAGTATAGGAATCAATATTTGTAGCGATCTGTCATAAGATACTAAGATAGGAAATGCTGGTGTACATATGAATAAAAATAACTGTTTTTGAACTTAAAAAAGAAGAATGACAACATCTTGGATTTCTGCAGCGTGCCAATGCATTTCTGCTTTTCAGTATTCCTGAGGACCAGAAGACCTCTTTGTCTTAAAAGGTAAACCAAGATTCCCAGTTTCACATATGCTATTTCACCAGCACCAGTGACCACAGTTGACTTCCCTATTGTGCCATCCCCAGCCAGCCTCCTACTTTGAGTACTTATTCCAGATGGTAGAAAGCAACAATGCACGGGTGACTCATAGGCCTATTTTTTATACAATGCAAAAACACCACAAAGCAATTTCCTCCTGTAATTTCTGTGGAACACATGCCTTGAATATGTAATGATGTGATACCAACCCTGAGCAACTTAGGCTTTGTTCATTTTCAGTTTCATCAAGTTCGGGAAGAAATTCACTCATATGAAAATGATAGCAAAAGCCACCGCATGGTGATAAAAGCCATCATCACAAATGTCAACAGCTACACATGTTTAGGTTATCAAGTGGCAAAGTGCAATCGTTACAAGATAAACCCAATATTTGAGGTCAACCAAAATTAAAAGCTAAACTGTATGTTCTGTGATTTAAGCTCTTTTTCACCTGGCAATTCACATGTTCATCTACCCTGGACAACATATCAAGTAAAAAGAGAAAGAAAACAACACTGTCTTAAATGTCACACACCCATGTTCTTGATAGGCAGGGTAGTGTAGTGGGCAGTATGTTGCAGTAGACTTAGGAGGCATGGTTCAGGTTCCTGCTGAGCTATGGATACTTATTCAGTGAGGTGGGGGGAGGGCAATGGTAAATCACTCCTTTAATGTCTCACATACCTTAAAATTCCTATTAAGATCACCGTAGATGAGAACAACTCAAGTCCACTATCACCCTAAATAAAACAGAACTGCAACTAAATAACATGTATGTAGCTAAGAGTTACAAGTAGCACAGACTGGTGACAGCTATGTACAGGCTACTTACAACATGGGCTGTGAATTCCACATGTATAGAATAAGCCAAACTAGAAGAATATGTATAGTGTTTGAGTAGACCTAAGGGTTTGGATGGTAAAAAAAAATCCATTGTATTTTTTAATAATACTTGCACAGAAAAAAAAAACCTAAACAAGACTGTTAGGCTTGTTAAACCCCTCCTTTGGGACTGTGTATACTTTTCTTCATGTGAAAACCACAACATCACTGGGAGAAATAATCTACTACAAAATTTTATCCCACCTACATGACCCAGTAGTTCTGTAAGTAGCTCATGTATTTAAAATGTGGAAAATGCTAATTAAAGCAATAATTAATAATACAATCAACATGTAGTAATGGGCAGAAAAGTAGTCCACTGAACTGAGGATGCATTTCTCCACAAACATTAGAAGAAATCGCTGGGCCAAGGTTGGTGTCTAAAATCAAAATAAAAAGATCAGTGTGTGTGCCATAGCGCTATTTCAGCACTCTTTGGACACCCTCCCACTGTAACCAAGAGCAAATATTTTGGTCAGGAAGATTTTAAAAGCACAAGCAAGTGCTTTTAAATACAGTACTGCTGAAGTGTTTCTCATATGTATCGATAAAGCCAAGCTGTGCCATCTAAACTAAATCAAAATACGAAGGCAACACACTTACTGTAGGCAGGCATTTGCAATCTGACACGAGGGAAATTTGAATGGGCTGAGTACTGGCTTTACAGCACAGCAGCAGAATAACAGATGTATGTGAGAAAGATAGGAATCATGTCATTACAGTACAGCAAGCAACAAAATTGACTATCACTGACCAGTGATGTCACTTAGATATGCTGTTTTCAACAATCTCAAATGTTAAATATTCCCTGAAGCCTATAAACAATTTTAAATGACACACAAATATCCACAAATGGAATTACAGGAAAAAAATATCTAGCCAAGTTCTACACATAGCCTCTCATTTCAGTGACAGTGAGTTCAGGAATTTAATAACATTTCATATAAGGAGTGGAGACAGTTCTAGCAACTGATGGAAGTTTCTTCTCTGTTCTGACTTCACCAAGATCTGGGTAGTTATGCAATGCACTTGCCTGGCACACCCACCAAGGCCTTCTAAGAGCACAAACAGAATGACAATCACCAGCATACACTTGTCAAGCAGGCTGGATAGTTGCCTGGCTGTCACTCACCTCATCTGGGCAAATAACTAGCTTGAAGTTCAGGAGATCATCCTGGTCTGAAAAATCTATTTCACATGTTTTCGGTAAATTCAGTTCATTAATATCTGTGGAAGGAAAACAAGGAAAGTGGTCAGATTGCAGAACAAAGCTTAGTGAGAGTGATGATCAGGCAACTAGGAAACTAAGCTCCTTTCTCACACCAAAACCCATAGGTCTTCTTTTTTCACCTGCCTGGCTTTGTAACTTGCTAAAATTAGATACCATCTCACCAAAAGTCTCTAGCAAAGTGAAAGGCTAAGAGAGTCACCAGCTCTTCGAATACAAAGTAAGTGGCCTAACACAGCAGGATTATGTCTCTCTGGTCCATTGCAACTTGCTGCAAATACTGAAGTGTACCTGTGTATGCATTCATGTATGTGTACACACACATGAATCCACATCTACCTTTGGGCAGTCACATTAAAGGAATGGGGACAGGTGTTATTTCTATACCGCACTCTAAGAGAAACTACATTTGTAAGGTGCACGAGATGACGTTTTAGATGACAATATTCAAGGAAAAGGGAATCCAAGCCCTTTTACAGCTATTAAGCTCCATGCATGGCTTGAACTATTTTCTCTCTCCTATGATGGAGGTGAACAGATCAAAACTCAAAAGTTTTGTTGCAATGGATAATGAGAGGAAGACACTGAATAATGTCATCATGAACTCCTTAGAAAGAACACAGGAAAACAAGAAAATGTACAGTAATTAACAAGCACATGATTTGAGTAGGGGCTCAAGCAATAACCAACTATCCTACCCAGTGAGTTGGATTCTGCCTCATTTTTGGACAAAAAGCAATCCCTTTGAATATGGGAGGAGATTTGGTACTAAGACGTCAGAATTTCAAACAGGGCACCATCCTTAAATCCACTGAGCCCACAAAGGATATTAAACCCAGGTTCCCATTTCTGCCCAGGCAGCCTTTGGGAAGCTGCTCACTCTTGTGGGTCTGTTTCAAAGGCTCACAATAAAACAAAGAGAGCCTGGAAATATCTGAACTCTCAGAGCACAAAACGTAAACGGCAAACCTCGTTCTCTTAGGACACCCTGGCCGGGCCCCGCACTCCTGCCATTGTTTGCTGAAGATGAGAGCGAGGCTAAGAGCGCTTGATTCTCATCCGAACGGACGATGGAGAGAAAGGAGAGGAGACAGAAGCCTCTTCTTAAAGAGTTTCCCTTTGTTTCCCTTCCTGTCGAGGGGGAAAGGGGGCAGCGCCTCCATTACTTTCCTTCTTTTCTTTCTGCCTCCCTCCCCGAAATCCCCCGGGGGCAGCGCCTCCATTACTTTCCTTCCTTCCTTCCTTCCTTTCTTTCTTTCTGCCTCCCTCCCCGAAATCCCCAACCTTTCTGGATGCGGAGCTGAGCGGCCGAGGCTTTCTTGCTCGAGCCTTTTGTGCCGCCGGCCGATTCCTCCTCCTTCTTCTGCTGCTTCAGGGAGAAAAGCTTGATCATCCTGGCGGGCTGCTCGCGACTGGGCTGGCGGGCTGGCTGGCGGCTCTCTCGCCCTTCCTTCCTTCCTTCCTGGCGGCCCCAGGCCCGACCTCGACCTCTCCCCCCACCTGGCTACCGCGGCCCCGGCCCGGCTCCCTATCCCAGCTCGGGGCTTTGGGGAGAGGGGAGGGCGAAGGCCGAGGAGAGGGAGGAAGGGAGGGAAGGAAGGAAGGAGAAGGGGCGCTGGCAAATCCGGCGGCCTGGCCTGGCTTGGCCTGCCCGGCGTGGCGGGCCGAAGAAAGACCGGTGACTCGGGCGGGCCGGGACACCGGGGAAGGGAGGGGGAAAGAGGGAGAAAGGGACGGAGGAAGAGAAGGGGGAGGCAAGAGAGCGAAAGAGGGGAGGAAGGGGCCAAGCCACCGGGACCGCCCCGCCTCAGAGCGCCGCCGCCGCCGCTCCTGGTGCCGCCGCCGCCGCCGCTTTTCCTACTGCGGGCTGAGCGTGTGAGAGTCGGACGGCAACGGACAGCCCCTTCGGCCCTTCCCGGAACACCGTCGGCAACTTCCGCCTCCCGTCCTCCAGCTCCGCCCACCTGCTCCGGCTCTCCGGAAGTACTCGACCCCTCTCGTCAAGGAAAGAGAGGGGTCGCTTCAAAGTTCTCGGCCTTTTCCGCCCAGCATTCGGCCCTTTCCGGTCGCACCAAGTGACGTTCGGCGATTATCGTCTCTGTCACTCTCTTGTCTTTCCCTTTATTTGCCCCGCCCCCCAAAGGATCGGACGCCCAAGAGGTCCGTAAACCCAGCGACGAATCGTCCTCGGCTATTTCCGCCCCGGCGTTCGGCAGCATCTTAGAATGCTGAAACTCCAAGAGACACAGTCACGGAGGTTAGCCTTATACGTCCGATCCCCACTGGAATAGCGCTGTGTACGAGCCCAGCCAGACCTCTGATCGACTTAACGGCGTTTGCTTGAAATCTCCGAGCAAATGCCCGATAAATGCCAGGATAGAGCAAGTGTCATCTCCTCTGATTTTGCCCCGTGCTGCTGGCTCGCAGAGAGAGCCCTGCCATGGGAACTGGGAGTAAGGGGTTTCCTGTCCTCGGTGTGCTTCACGTCGACATCCTGCAGCTGCCCCCCAAGAACAGCGCCATTTTCGTACATAAAGGAGAGGCTTTATCTTTTCCACATAGTCGCGATCTAAAGCAAGGATTGTTTTGGAACAAATATCCAAAGGGGTAGCATCCTTAATGTGATGCCCAGCGTTGGGGTATGGAGTGAGGAAAGTTAGCTCTGTGCCCTCAAGACGGAACTGACCTGCAGCTGCCAGACTGCTGGTCAGTGTGAGCAAATTTGATTACAGTACATCTCCCCCAAGTCCTGGGTCAAATTCCAAGGCTTTGGTGCTTTCCTATAAAGTTCTTCATGGTTTCAGACCCCCGTTACAGTACTTGTCAGCGCATCTGCTCCCTAAGAACTCATGCCACCAGATCTTCCCAGGCAGTGCTCCTCCACATCCCGACACCAAGGGAGTGCACTCCCAAGCCAACTACACCAGAGCACAGAGTGCTGTCCTCTGAAGATGCCGGCCACAGAGACTGGCGAAACGTTAGGAAGAACAACCTCCAGAACACTGGCAAAGAGCCCCAAAAACCCACAACTAGAGGCCAGGAAAACTTATCAGAAGTGAGCCTTCTCGGTTGTGGCACCAGCCCTTTGGTATTGGCTCCCAGCAGAGCTGTTCCTTGCCCCCCCCTCCCTGTCCAGATTCAGGTTATTCAACATATTTTTAAAAACGGTCATTCACAGCAACTTTACATGAATCTGTGCCTCTGCCCTGACGCCCGTCCCATGGGTTAATGCTGTGGTGCCCGTTTCTTGACTTGGCTGATTGGATTTGTTCCATATGTTAGTTGTTACTGCTTTTATTGTTGCATTCATTAACTTTGCACTAATCAGGTGGTATAAGAATTTAATAAATGCATAAAATATTTAAGGAGTGTTTTCATGTGTTCCACTCCCCTAGTGACTTTCTATGACCAAGCGGGCATTTGAACCCTGGTCTCCAGAGTCCTAGTCCATCACTCTACCCACTACACCACACTGGGAACATAATAAGAGACCTGGTAAAACCACTCTCCAAATATCTCACTTCCCTTGCAAACCCCATTAGGGCCACCTTAAGTTGTTTCCAATTTGAGGGCACATACCAGCCTGGAGTAAAGAAGCTTAGTCTTTTAGCACCTTGGAAGACTAACATATTCATAAAAGCGCACCCTTGCATGGAGTGCAGTTGTTCATCGGATGCAGTCATCAGAGAAAACCTCAAGGAAATCCAGAGGCTTCACTTTGAACACCTTGAAAAATAACACTTTTTTTGGGACAATATTGCTTTGGGTTTGGATTGGGTGTGGGTTTTTTTGTCCAGTATGGAAAATACATCTTTTGAGGCAACACAAACTGAGTTTTCTATAGTAATAATCTTAGAACTGCAGAGCTGGAAAATGAACAGCACATTGTTACTCTTTTCAGCAGAATCAGACTCCCACCAAAACCTGGAAGTACAGTAATTTGACATTTGTGTATCCTTGTTTAAATATATGCAAGAATATAATGTATCTTTAAAACTAAGTTTTTTTTTCCTGAAAAAGAATTTACAGTGGCATTGGTATCTAACTAAATGCTTCTTATACCCCATCCTTTTTTCTAAAATGGCAAAAAAACACAATCTGATGAAGAGTTCTGAAGGGCTGGATACCTCATCTTTTATGGAAAATCTGGTTCTCTAACAAAGGTGTTTCTGATTTTTTTTAACTCATTACAAAATTTGTGGTTTTTAAAGATCATCAACTTCCATTTTCTGGAAAAAGAATGGCTGTTTTGAGGGGTTTTGTTTTTCAAACAGCACATTAGGAGCATTTAATTCAACCCAATCTCTGATGAATAATGACATTATGGCTGACTTGCACATCCAACAAAAATATTTTGTGGCTAACGTATTTACTTATGTGAGTTTATGTGCTTAACAATGAAGTAAATGAGTCCAGCATTCTGTCACAATACCATACTGGTACTTCAACAATTTCATTATTTAATTATAATTGTTCTCAGTAAGGTTCTTATTATAATAGTTCTCAGTAAGGTTCTTATTAGTGTATGTTGCTCTTGAAACCCCAATGTTGGAAAAATGTGAAGGTAAGAGGCGAAGGGGACGACAGAGGACAAGGTGGTTGGACAGTGTCATCAAAGTAACCAACATGAATGTGACCCAAATCCGGGAGGCAGTGCAAGATAGGAGAGCCTGGCGTGCTCTGGTCCATGGGGTCACGAAGAGTCGGACACAACGACTAATCAACAACAAAGCTCTTGAGAAACTGCTGATTTTTCCTTCTATCTACCCATTTCACACAAAAGTGATTTTAGAGTTTGGCATTAAGGCTCCTTGAGGCAACTGCTTTACCTTGTGTAATCAACTCATATGTAAAGTTTGACAATAATGGGAGAAGTACATAGGTCATGAAGCACAGAGATCAACATGCACATCTTTAATACCAAATACAAACTAACATTTTTGTACCTGGAACCTAATTTTTTTCAAGTCTTGTTTTTCTGTTAATAGTAGAGAGTGGAAGGCTTGTGTACAAGATATACACATGCCTGAGAAAAAAAAATTCCACAGAACTTTTGATTCAGCTAACCATACTATTTTACAAATAATAAAACTAAATAAAACAAATGGATATGTTATTGTTTAGTATAGAACTGCTGGATCTTATTATACTGTTTTAATTCAATATTCAAAATGCAATCCAACCAATGACAATACAGGTCTCACTCAAGAGATTTTATCTGACTACACTCTGTGTGTGTTCTTGACAAAAATAAAATCCACTTTATACAGACTATTTTTGTTACATACTGTTCAACTCAATTAAGCAAAAATAAGAAAACAAAGCCTAATTTTCATGGTCAGCCACAAAATAAAGAAAATTACACTCCTGTTATATACAAATCTATCCATGGTTCCAACAGGTTCAAGAATGAAGATTAACATTTTACTATTTTTACCTAGTCAAAGGTTAAGCAGGGGGAGGTAGTACACATTTTAGCAACCTCCCCACACATACACTAGTATCATGAGTCATGACATGAAGTGACTGCTTTAGTTGTGAAAGCACACCATGATCTGCCCGCCTTGTTATATTTAACACAAAATTCAATCTAGAGAGGTAATGTACAAAATTAGAATGTTTTAACTAATTTAGTCTGCATTCATTAATTAACTGCTGAGAATAGTGCTTAGACCCATTTGGTCTGTAAATGTTTAGATTTTTTTTCTGACAGACCAACACAGCTATGTATTTTTTAATCAATCTAAAGCTTTATTTTTCAATGACATTTTTCTGCTGGAAAATTATACTTGGCCCTAGTTGTTGGCTTTCAAGTTCATACTCAATACAGAAAGTAGCTAAGCAGGTTATCCCAATGCTGAAGCCAGTGTCGTTATCAGTCAAAAGTGAAAATGTATATGAAACCCTTCAGACTTCACTGAAAATTAGCTGTAACTCTAGAAAAGGCACAAACCTTGTTGGTAGGTGGCTCTTCAGTTCACATGTGTGAAATGCAGCCAATCTGAGAAAGTATCACACTCCCCCAAAATACTAGGTACAATTTATGAGTAGCTCTCACTTGCCTGGCACTCTCTAATCTTCTAGGCATCAGAAGAGGATGTTTCTATTTTCTCATGCTTTTAGATAGCTTTAATGGTCCAGGCCTCCATGATTTACTTCTGTTGTTCAATACTATATCAGATATGGGATGGTTATTGTATTTCTCATAGCTTTAATGGTCCAGGCTTCCATGATTTACTTCTGTTGTTCCATACTATATCAGATATGGGATGGTTATTGTGAGTAATCTCTTTCATGGACCTTTGTAGTTAATATGTCTTCTATGATATGTACCGTATATACTCGAGTATAAGCCAACCCAAATATAAGCCGAGGCACCCAATTTTACCACAAAAAACTGGAAAAACCTACTGACTTGAGTATAAGCCAAGGATGGAAAATGCAGCAGCTCCTGGTAAATTTCAAAAAATAAAAATAGATACCAATAAAATTACATTAATTGAGGCATCAGTAGGTTAAATGTTTTTAAATATTTATTTCAAAGAAAAACAGTAAACTAGCTCTGTAAGTGGAAAAGAGGGTCAACAAAAACAATAAGCTATCAACAATAACTTTAAAAGTACAAAAACCTTAGCTCGATCAGCAACCAAGCTAAAACACAAAGAGTTAAAATCCTTCAAAACTGGATTCCTCCTCATCTGTATGTCCAGAGCTTCAGTTTCAGCTGGTGTGAGGTTATCAGCATAGACATTATCATCAGAGTTTGCCGTCACCACCATTCACTGCTGTCACTCTCATACAAAGCGGTCTTCGCTGCTATCCATAGCATTACTAACGCCACATGTCTTGAAGGCGCGTTGCACCATATCCTCTGGAATGTCTTCCCATGCATCACGAACCCACTTTGCTATCAATTCTATGTTGGGTTTCATCATATTTCCAATTTTTGTCAGTCGGGCTTGAGCAGATGACATTCATTCATGCCACATCTTTCGCACACTATCTTTGAAAGGTTTATTTAAACACACATCTAGGGGCTGCAATACAGATGTAGGCCCACTTGGAATAACGGCCAAAGTAACTTGAGAAGACTTTGCCAATGTTTTTATATCATCAGATGTGTGGGCTCTGAACCTATCTCAAACTAGCAATTATGTTTTTTTTCTTTAAGACTGTTCCTGGTCGCCTGTTCCAAATTTCTTCCAGGCATTTTTTGTTCCATCTTTATCCATCCAGCCTTTAATATGTGCCCACACTGTAATTCGTGGTGGGAATTTGACCTTTTCAGGCAAGGTCTTTCTTTTAAAAATAATGACAGGTTGCAGCTTAGTTCCATTAGCCAAACATGACAGAAGGACTATGAAATGGTCCTTTTAATTTCCTGTGGTTCTGAGTAAAATAGTTTTGTCTCCCAAACTTGCCACAGTTCTGTTGCTTGGAGGATCAAAGATCATAGGTGTTTCATCCATATTCCCAGTTTCTCCCAAGTCATAGTTATGGATCCTTCTTTGTTTTATGATGAATTAATGAAATCAAATCACTTTTTCATCAAGGTCTTCTGGCAACTTCTGTGAAATCTTTGTTCTTTGCCGCAAACACAAGACAAACCTATTCATAAAGTGGGTACACCATCCTGCTGATGCAACAAAATTTTCAATGCCTGGTGTTTTTAATTTGTCATCTTTGGCCATTTGAAGGGCATGTAAGCGAATTCCCATGCGTGTTACACAGTAACCATTTTGACGACACTCCATAAGGAAGGAGAACTCATACCAGATCATATGAAGTCGTTAAACCACATAGAGCTTTTTTTGCCTTTGGAATCTTTTCCAAGTCAGCTTTCATTTTCCGCCACTCCCTCACTTGTTTTCGTCAACACAAAATTCCCTACTTGCAAATACTGTTACTGCTCTTTTCTGCTCTTGACACAACCTTAAGTTTGAAATCAGCTTCGTATGACCTGTGTTTTTGTTTTGGTCCAGGATTAGAAGTATTGGGATCCATTTCTAACAGGATAAAAAAAAGACTTTGAAAAAGCATGCCGTACCATAGAGACTGAATTCTCAAAATATACCGTAAGCCCTACTCCAAAAATAATGATCATGCACTTGTGAGGTTTGAAATCGCATGAGATTTATCTTAAGATTTCCCTTGAACTCCCCAGCAGCACTCAGACGATCCTGGAACAAGATTTTGCTTTTTTTGGACATGAGATAACGTGTAATTTCAAATCTCATGATTGTATGTGATATATCTTATGCAAGCCCAAGTGCACAAGATTTATCTTTAAGATTTTGTTAGAATTTTCATAATGGGCTGGACTAACCCTAATTCATAACCTTAACCCCAATTCATAATTCTAATCCTAAATCATAATCTTAACCCTAATTCATAACCTTAACTTCTAACCCTAATTCATAACCCTAACTCTAATTTCTAACCCTAATTCATAACCCTAAGGTTAGAAATAAGGGTTAACTAGGGGTATGCTTAGGAGTGGAGGAGGTCTGCTAGTCTGATGGGGCATGGAGCGGGAGGGGTTAACACTGTGTCTCACAGCACAGAAAGATACTGCCCTTGTGAGCTGCAAGACACACTTCACTGCCTGCGGAAGGAGAACTCATACCAGATGCTGCGCTTATCTACTGCTCTACTGCTGCATAACAAGATGGAGGGAGACGGAGGATGGAGGAGGAAGGGGGCTACACAGAACATGCAGGAGGAGGAGGATGGGAGTGTCCTGGAAGTGGACACTCCTGTAAAGATGTTTAAGAGACATAGCTGACAGGGAAGAAGGGAGGTGAGTGGGCTTCCTTGGGTTTGTAAACAAAGATGCCCTCACTGTGACCTCTGTTCAGAGTGGTCTTTGAAATAAATACTGACACACTGCCGGGGAAAAAGTTTTCATCTACAGCTCTTTCATTTGGACATAGATTTCTATTATCCTCCCAGCACGGTGTCTGCCTGCTGAGTCTGAAAAATGCAGTGTACTTAACCCTGCAGGCACCCCTAGATGAGCGAAGGAGTCCAGAGAACACCCACACTGCAGGGGAAAACATGCAATTTTGACACTGACTCGAGTATAAGCTGAGGGGGGTGCATTTTCAGCAAAAAATTGTGCTGAAAAACTCGGCTTATACTCGAGTATATATGGTATTACGTATTTAGTGCTGTATCTATTTTTCCTTCTTATGGACTCCTTGTTATAGTTACACATAAAATTAAACACTTAAGATCTTACACAGGTGCAACATTTTGTAAGCCACAGAAAGATGAGCATGCTACTTGAAAAGCAGTTATTCACAAACATAATCTGTAAATCAAATCAGTAGCATTGGATTCTATCAATAAAATCAGAGTGCCTAACTGTGGATTATCCTTCTCATCAAATGTCCTTACCTCTTGCCCTATGCACAATAATCTCTGGGACTAAACATACATAACAGTGGTGCCCCGCTTGACGACGACCCCGTTAGATGACGAAATCGCTTTACGATGACTTTTTTGCAATCGCTATAGCGATCGCGAAATGATGTTTCTATGGGGTTTTTTTGCTTTACATCGTTTCGGTCCCTGCTTCGGGAATCGTTATTTCGCTGGACGATGATTAAAAACAACTGATCGGCGGTTCACAAAATGGCGACCCGCTGCTTTCCGGACGTATTTTTGCAACACAGGGATCGTAAAATGGCTGCCCTATGGAGGATCTTCACTGGACGATCAGGTATTTTCCCCATTGGAATGCATTAACCGGTTTTCGATGCATCCCAATTGGGTTTTTTTCTCGCTTGACGACGATTTTGCTTATCCACGATTTTCCAGGAACTGATTATCGTCGTCAAGCGGGGCACCACTGTATAAGACAGCACAAGCCTCATGACCTGTCAAGAATGTCACTTTGTTTTCCTGTAACACAAATTTAGACTGGCTTTGGCATATGTTCTGGACAGCTGGTAAATGAGTGATAGAAATGTATCCAGAAACATCCTGATGGTTCTGGATACATTAAGGTTCAAGTTTTCCTATAGTAATAGAATCACATGCTGCATCAGACCACAGCAAACTGGGCTCCCTAGTCTTAAACTACTCCCCTTTGACTGTTAACATGCCACATATTTTTAGGTTTTGTGAACAATGCTTTAATATCAAGTCTTAATATAGTACTTGATAAAGCTTTCCTTGACCTTAATGCTTCAGAAAGAAAAAGAACAATTTTCAGTAAGTGCACTACTCTTTCACTAGAATGCAGAATTCTTCATACTTAAGTAATTTCTCGGTATTTTGCTACATTTATAATTAACTATATTTCGTACGAATTTTCAAAACTGTTTTTTACTGTCCCCAGGAACATGAGTCATTCTGAATAAACAGGAGAGTAGCCCAACCTGGTGTGCTACAAACAACAATACAATTCCTCCCCATTGTATTTTATGGCTGAAACACCAAATCTTCCCACCTGTTTTCCGTACCATTGGCCAAAATCCTGTTCTTTAGCACAGTATGTTGCACTAGAGTAGGCCCACTGAATCAGTGGAAATTTGGCAATTCCAACTCCTCTATAAGCGCCACTGATTTTAATCGGCCTATTCTAGTTGCAACCTACTACGGTAAAATAAGACGCAACTAGAATAAGTCCATTTGAATCAATGGAATTATTAACTACAGCCACAGAGATCTGTGGACCTACTCCAATACAACTTGCTACACTAAAAAACAAGGCTTCACCTATTATGCCTGCAACAGAACTGTGATATATAAACTTACAGTTTTTTTTAAAAAAAATACCATTTTGGTTGCACTAAGAATGTTATTACGATGGCATTAATTTTTGAGTAATTAGTGTTGGAATTCTGTATTATTTTAACTGTTCTGGTAAATGGCATATACATTCCATAACGATTTGTAGGCTGATTTTATGCCAATTATGAGGCTACTGCTATGTGGAATGTAAACCAAATCCATCTCACATGGCAAGGAATGAATGGGCACAAACCAGCAATTCAAAACTCTACGCTTACTGGCTCAACAGCTGATCCATAGTTCAGCACCCTGCCCCCTCTAGCATGTGCCCACTCAGAGGTAGTGCCCTGGCTTCCCTGCCCCACCTCCTCCGGGCATTGTTTCTGAGTGAGTGCCCACTAGATGGGGCGGGGCCCCAAACGGCACATCAGCTGCTGGGCTGTTAAACAAACTGCAGAACTGGGGGTTCATTCCCATCTCTAAATAAAGGGTGTTCCAAGTTTATTATATTGGGTTCCAAAAGGAAACAGGAGACTTAAATACTCTTAGAGCACATAACCTGTGGCCCAGTATTTAAAAAAGACAATGCTCAAAAAGATAGATACCAAAAACACAAAGTGATCTAGCATCGGGTCCATATGCCCAAATTCTCGTAAGCTTCCATTCAATTCTGCATTTTAAAGAACAATGTTAGGTGGGACAGTGGGGCGCAAACAACACATTTATAGTAGAAAAGCAGTGAATGATTTTATCGTGTAATAACCCACACTGAACCTTTCTGGTAGGACAGCTGCAAAAAAAGGAATTACGATGAATTTTATAAAAACTGACAAGACACACAAGTTGCAAACATTGTTTATTTTTTGAACATGAAAGAAGCAAAGTCTAAAATATACATAAGCAAAAAAAGAAAAGCACATTTCCATGAGAAAGGCTCTTGGGATAGTGAGGATAAACTACTGTGCCAGAAAGCATTTGAAGATACGTACAGCCAGAAAATACGGCTACACAGAAGGGACAACTGGATTTAAAAACCTACATCTACCTTGACCTATGAAAACAGACATGTCTCCTCTTGAACAAGATGAATGAAAAGCAAAGGAGCCTTGTTTGGACACATGAAAAGAGTTCAAAAAGAATAACCACCACCTTAGAAAGACAGGTGTCAAGGAGGCCCCAAAGTAAATGCATCTGTCAAGATAATTATGGCAACACATTTGTACCCATTTCATGAAAAAGATCAAATTTTATGTTTGGGCCACAACCTCCTTCTTGGTAATGTTGGGGCATGATTTAAAAAAAGGGGGGGAACCACTACTTTGTTCCCACTAGGAGCAAGAAAGGAGTCTGAGAGGAGAACAGGGCATAGGGTTCTGGATTTCTTCTATTCATTCGTTTCCATTTCAATACAAAAAACACAAAGTGTATCTCTCAGAACAAGGGCATAAAATTTGTCAAGCCAAAAAAAAAGGGGGGGGGAGGAAGGGAAAAAAGAGAACAGTTTAGACCATTTATAACCATTATCTAAGCTGCCAAGTTCTACAATAACTCTCAAAAAAATAAAAAAGGCAGAGAGGTGCAAGGGAATAAAGGGGGGACCAGAAAAGTGGAGGGTGGGGACAGGTAAGAGCAGCTTCAAGATGGTAGCTCCCCCAATTCCTCTCCTCCTTGGAATGCTGGTCCATTTTAACAAGTGGCAGCTCCTCAAGCTGCCATTCCCTCATCCCCACCACTCCCTTCAGGCTTAGAAGTAGTTGCCTCACCCAAATCAGTAAGGAGGGAGCCACGAGGAGGAAGGGTACTTTCTTTCTGCGGTTCATCCACGTTGATGGGTTCGCGCAGTGCTGAAAATTTCCGGTCGCCAAAAGCAGCACTTAACTTCGCCTCAAAGAAGCGCTGCAGAACAATGATGGACTGGACATCTTCTTTGTCCTAAGGAAGAAGAGCAGTGAGTATCCTACGAGGGAGACTTCTGGAATGTACCGTATTTTTCGCTCTGTAAGACGCACCTTTCCATAAGACGCACCTCTACGAGGGAGATTTCTGGAATGTAGCTTATTTTACGTACCAAGCATTCCCTTAGTTTTCATTAATCCTGTTAGAATTCATTAATTAGAGACACAAGGAAAGCCCGCCATCTGTGGTACTACTTGAAATAGCTGGTGCAAGGTCCCTACTGATAAAATCAGATCCCTATCCAACACTGTATCAATCGTTCCATGTGTTCCCCTCAGCAGATAAAATCTCACCTCTGTCAGTGTATTGAATTGCCTGACCATCTTCCAGACATCATCTGCAAATTCATCAGGAGAGGTATAGGGTGGAGAGAGTTTCCGTTGCAGCTTAGCTCTAATCAAGGTCAAGTCAATTGTGTTCTGCCCCTCCTGTCAGATACAGAAGAAGTTAGCCAGACTCCTTGCTCTTCTCTCAAGCTATCAGAAGCACAGACAGCCTACATGCATTTTAAAACGTGCAAGACATTTTGAATGGTTTTGTTTCTGTGTGAACAGACAAAATGAAAGGATCAAAGTCAAGGATATCCCCAAACGTGATTGCTATCAGTAATCATTGGGTTTGCACAGGGTTAGAAGGATGCAAAGGAAGAGGAACACTTTAAAAAAACCAAAACCAAAAAAAGAAGAAGACGATGATGATGATGATGATGATGATGATGATGATGATGATGATGATGATGATGATGATGCAGGGAAATTCAAAAGGGTTAGGCAATAACTTTCTTGGGCCATAAATGTATCCTACAAAATTTGTTCTCCTAAGTATGAGGAGAAATTCAAATTGTCTATTCAATTCATACAACAAACTCACTCACTGTAGCATTGGAGAGTCGATGAAGAGGCCTGCATGGCTCGAAACACAGTAACTCAAGGAGAACTCGTTCACATCTCTGTATGAAAATATGGGAAATGATGTTACTAGGGGAAAATCTAGCTTTGTCACAGACTAGAGTTGTCCTACATTACATTCCAAAGAGCTTTTCTAAACCCAAATAAACAGAACTTTCCTGAAAGTTCAGCTGAAAAAAAGTGGTGTAAAGCTTTTCATTTTAGTCTCAGACAGCCAGCCCAACAAAAATCAGAAAAAAACCCTAACTATGCTCTAAGATAGGAAGCATAGCTATCCTTGAAAACAGATACTTGAGTGTGTAGACAGACAAACCCTCTTTCCTTTATCATTATTTCTGTGACTCATGAGACCACACAGCATTAAATGGGACTTTGCAAGTGGGAGACATAGAATCACAATCAGGTTTTGGCACTTCAGCCAAGAGGTATCTGAAATATACAGCTGCAAACAATATGACTGGCTGTGTTAGCTGTTTTAAAGGGAAATCCTAGAAATCACTCAAAGAACTTGAGCAAAACTAGCACCAGAATTTCCACTGTTAAAACCCAAGGCAGTATTACTCTACAATTAGAGCTATTTTCTTTTATGGCATACAGTTTAAAAAGGATAAATACTATAGAAACTTTTGCAATAAACACAGAGATTTAGTTAATAAACTAGTTAATTAAAGTTGGCCAGCTACTTACCAATAATTGCCCCTTAGGGTTATTACACTGTAGTGCTGGATGAAAACCACTAGGAGTGGCTATGAAATCTGGAAACCCAATGTCATAATTACCTCACTAATCTGTAGCCCACCAACCTCCAAACCACTGTCATCACTAATCCACTTCCTATTTCCTGCAAGCAGTACACCTTCCCAACTGTTCTGAGACCCAGTATGATTATGCTTAGCCCTAGGTTCAAGAACTATGTATCCCAGAACCCACGGCTTCTTCAAATGCCAGTCTGAAGGTACCTACTTTGTTCCAGTTCCCTCACCTAACTTTGCTCCCTTTCCTTCTGGTCTCTTAGCCAGGTTCATTATAATTTTTCCCACCATGTCTGTGCCATAAATTTCATAATACACAGACCTTCCAGCACTACTGTTCCCTGGACAGCTGGCTATATTCTGAGCAAGTTACCCAAAATCAGCCATTCTACTACCACAACAACAGGATAAATTGGTGAGCAAGAAATCAACCCTCAGGATAACTTCCAATAAACATTAAACATTTTTAAAAATCAGCATTCACATCTCTTTCGAGTATCAAAGCTCACTAGCAAAACTGCAAGAAATCTCCCTTATATGTCCAGCCAAGTTTACTAACACCAACACTACAGAACTCCTCCTGTTTGAGAAAGGTGTGGGTCCCATTGTTAACTGACATTACCTATTATGAATCGATTTTGTACTCCAAGAATTAAGGGTCTCACATGTATACGTATACAGAATTTGAATACACAGGGAATCTACACCATGGAGAGAAAAAGTTCCCAGAGCTTCAGCTAGACTAAGTTTAATGTGAGATTTTTCCAACACCAAGGCTGACATGACATGCCTTGCAACACATAAGGAAAAGACCACTACAGCCTCGATCAAGTCAACTATAAGTTACGTAACCTCGTCCTGAAAAAAGGAACTCACATTTACAGGGCCTGAGTCTCAGCCCTTCCCTTTTAGGTACTAAGCACTGCTTCCAACAACTTTCAAAGAATAATCTATAACCTCCAAATCCAGTGTCTCTGAACAAAAATCAATTTCTTCCTCCTTCCCCTCTCACTCTTCTCAAAGAATTATCCCTCTCTCCGCCCTACACAACTCAGTGTTGTATATGCAACAGACCTCAGTCTGTTTGGGAATCTTCCCCACCCCAAACTGCTCCTCTGATACCTCCACAAAGAATATTACGCCTTTCTTCCTTCCACCTCCCTTTTTACAAGCAGTTTCCCACTTGCCACCCCAAATCTGCTGTTCATGACGACGCTTTACTAACAAGAGACCATTTGTATCAATAACAGTTGAGAATCACAGAAAAAAACCAATGAAATCTGTCTAGGGAGGCCACCACAGTTCTAGAAAAAAAATAGTGCTGCTCTCACTATAATTCTGAAAACCATATTCTACAACAGTTCAGGCAGTATCATAAACCAGAAGATGTTGAAGCTGCTAAATTCCAATCTGGTAATTACACACAATGCTATCCTGTGCAAATCTTATATAATCCACAGCTGGACAGCCCTTCCATTTATTGATTTGGCCTCAGGACCAGGAATATGCTGATCTTCAAAGAACTCTGCCTCTGCTGCATGTCTAGTATAATGTGGAAGCCCTTGCAATCAACAAGATTCTGCAGTAATCTATTCTTTGCCTTGTTTTTCCTCTAAATCACTGCACTCAACCAATATTCTGCTATTCTTTAAATTAAACGTCTCATGACTACCCTCAAACCTGATTGTTAAGATTCTGAGTGCCTTGCCCCTCACATAAAGACATCTTGAATTATGATGAAGCAGCCTTGAAGACTGAGTGGGCCTCTGTGCCCTAAGTCTTTTGCAGCCATTTAAGAGTTAGGCAAATCAAATACTGTACTGTATAAGGCATCCAATGGTCAGGTCAGCTCCTATTGTCCATCCCTTCAGCCAAAGAAGGTTCTTTTAAGAAAACCAACCTTCTGGTCCGCAACTGAGAGAGTCTTTGGCTCCCCATCTATGAAGATTGGAGTCAAGTCAGTTCCATCCTCTTCGATGGCTACAACAGGATCCTCACACAGTAGACACTTCCAATCCCGGCTGCAGAAGTAAATAGAAAAGCAAATGTTTAAGTACATATTCAGTATAATTCAAACTATACAGCTTCCCATGATCGCCACTGCAGTGTGTACTGTCCCAGAGCCAAAGAAAAAATCCAAACTATGAAGATCAACGTACAAACACTCCCTGAAATATGACTGTAGGATTTAAGTATTTGGGATTTCTCGTTACCTGCCTAGTTATATGCCCCACAAATCAAGAACAGATACCTCCTTAGAGACCACCATCTTGAGCTTTTCTAATAATTCTGGTAAGCCAGTGTTTGTAAGAGCCTGCTCTCCCTTGCAGACATTATAGAAGGTTTATAAGTTTGTAACAAAGTCAGTATCTAAACATTTTTCACTAAAATAGTCAGGATTTAACCGTCTGTCATGATTAAAACAGATCATGGAAGTATTATGGGAAATTATCTGATAGTTTCTTAGACATTAAGTAACAGAAATCACTTCACCCCTTCAAATCTTTGCAGAAATTATCTAAAGGGCACTTAACTACCCTCCCCAAAGAGTCCTAACAATACAGTGATGCCTCGCAAGACGAAAATAATTTGTTCCGAGAGTCGTGTTGTCTTGCTAAATTTCCGTCTTGTGAAGTGCGGTTTCCCATAGGAATGCATTGAAATTTAATTCGCCCTATGGGCGAAAAAAGTCAGAACGAAGTCACCTTTGTTTTACAAAGTGTTTATTAAGTGGTCTTTAACGGCATAAATACTGTACAGAGGATTTCAAAAATTTCAAGTACAAAACTTCAACTTTTTAAACATCACAGAAAAAATAAAAAAAATCAGCAAACATGAGGCAGGACCATCTGACTTGAGGCTCAATACTGAAACTGAACAGAAACAATCACGAACAGTCCTTGGATGGTGCAAAACTCTTCAGAAAGTGCATTTTCAAGGCATGTAAACAGGGACATTATACAGAAACCAACAGTACAGAAACTTTTAAAATCACATTTTAAATTGAACAAATGAGGCTGAAGTGTCTAAACCTACAGGACCAGTCAGGAAACTGGAGGTAGATAGAACTGTCACCACATGACAGCAGCAGTCTTTTACGTTCCCAGAGCTGTGGAGGATCTCTCTGGGGATGGCACGAACGCTGTTCAACTGGGAGAAGGCTTTAAGGCTTCACTTCAAGGCTTCTAGGAGGACAAGGAGGAGGAATAAGGCAACTGGGCACCACCGGTAGAAGCAGCAGGTTCATCTTCCTCTCTTTCCTTCTTGATGATGAACCTCTCCATGGTCTGCTGCTTCTGCTGCCTTTTCAGCACCTCTTTGAAAGAGGACATGACCCTTGTGTCAAACATGTTTGCAAGGTCACGTGCCAGAGCCTTGTCCGGGTGGTGCCGCTGTGCGTAAGTCCGCACGTTTTTCCACTGCTGGCAGATGTCTTTCAGGTTCGTGGTGGACAGCTGTTCCTCGCTTGTTGCTTCTTCCTCTTCCAAAGAGGCCTGCTCCAGCGTAGCCTGTGCCTGCAGTTCGAGCAGCTCCTGGGTGGACAGCTTCTGGTCGTGCTCCTCCATCAGCTCGCAGATGTCCTCCTCTGTGACCTCGAGGCCCATGGTCCTCCCCAAGGAAACAATGTCCTCCAGGACTGTTGACTCTGGTGCAGGCGCAGAAGCATCAGAGTCACTTGTTGCCACACAGTCTGGCCACAGGTTGCGCCAAGCGGAATTCAGATTTCTCTGGCTGATCCCATCCCAAGTGGTGGTGATCATCTTCAAGCAGATGACAATGTCAAAGTGGTCTCTCCAGAATTCACGGAGAGTGAGGTTGGAGCAATCTGTCACCTCGAAGCAGCGCCTGAAAAGCTCCTTTGTGTAGCTTTTTTTGAAACTGGCAATGACCTGATGATCCATTGGCTGGGGTACTGGGGTGGTGTTAGGAGGCAGGAACATGATTCTGATGAAGCGGAAGTCCTCTAACAAGTCTTCCTCAAGGCCTGGAGGATGACCAGGAGCATTGTCCATCAGAAGCAGGGCCTTCAGCGGCAGGTTGTTTTCCAGCAGGTACTGCTTGACAGCAGGGCCAAAAGCCAGATTGAGCCAGTCCACGAAGAGGACGCGTGTGACCCAAGCCTTAGCGCTGGATCGCCACAACACACTCAGCTGA